GCGCAAACACAGCCGGAACCACGTTCCCGTCATGAAGTCGCACATGAATCGAGCATAGCTGCGTAAAGTGAACCGGTGAAATCTTGAACGTACCATCCAGAAACTATTCTGGACATTCCCTAAGGAGCCTCAGATTTGCGGCTGTAGAGAACACTATCATTCGATCCGGATCTGTCGGTCCGGAATCCAAAAGCAAGAACGCTTCTCCTTTCGACGTCAACTGGAAATTGACGAGAATTTCACTGATGATATATGTTACAGCAGATATCATCGATGCAGGACGATAACACTTCCGCCGGAATACCTTCTCAGCGTCCGTGATTCTTATGTCCTGGCGCGATTGAACAACAATTCTTGGGTTCGGATCGACTTTCCTTCGGACGTAAGACACCTGTTTTCGCAGAAGAAGTATATTCGGCATTTGACCTATAACAGCCTCTGAGGAAAGCGTGCCGACCAGCTTGTCGACGATAACTGAGGTTCTACTGTCGCTATCGGCTTTCAAGGCAGCCTCGTGCAGCTCGTTGACGTTTCTCCGAACTTCGTTTGCGACTGGGTCCGGAGCGTGGTCATGGTCCGGAAAAACCTGCATAAAGACCGGCGTGAAGCGGGGGTCGGAGCAAACTGAGTTCCTTCCGTAATACATATATGTACATGGTCACATCGTCTCATGTCTATGCAGAACTGACCGAAACTCTTTCTTCTTTGATCTCTGCTCGACTGGAGCAACCTTTCTTCAAACATCGCCACTTTTTCCGATCCTGCCGAAACTGATGGCCATCGTAGAGCAACAGTGGTTTTCCTCTGGTCGAAGTCGCATATTCAATCGGCATGATGAGTTTTATCTGTCTCAGTTAGCCTCAGTGAAAATCGAACGGACTCGCGTTCTCACACGTCGAGCACCGAACGTCGCGAATGTCGCCAATTTCGTCAATGTCGCCGCCTATGTCGCCGAGACGCACTGCGAACGGCGCGCATTTCGAATTTCTAGTACACGCTTTTCTCAATGCGCTGAAGCTTGACTTTCAATTTGAAAGGCGTGTGATTTAACCAATTCCCCGACGGCTGATTCTGTCAATATTCACGTCGATCGGAAGCTATCGGCGTCCCCTGCGAGCTGCTGAGATGCGCGCTTAAGCAGCGGTGGATCGCGATCTCCCGGAGTCGGAGATATCTTTTTCGGAAATCAACACCAGGAAAACGAATCGTCTGATGCCAGGACGGTGCGCTCAAATCGGCCGCGCTCAAATAGGCCGCGCTCGGATCAGCTCGCGCTAAAATTGATTCGCGCTCGTATTGACTGCGCTAAAGTTGGCTGCGCTCAAACTGGCTCGCGCTCGGTTCGCACTTGCGCCCAGATCGGTTCCGCGCCCGAATCGCATTCGCGCTCAAACCATACCTGCGCTCAAATCGGATTCGCGCTCAAATGTATATTCACCCTTCAGCAGACCATGATTTGGAACGAAGACCATTGTTTAGATATCGCTCCCGGACAGTATAACAGGGCCGAGAGCTTATTATTTGATACTCATGCGGAGGAGCTGTCTATCAGTATCAGTATTTTAGATAAGTATCAGTATTTCTTCCGCTCATGAATCTCATCTTTCTCATAATCTATAAACACAAACAATTAGCGAAATCCGAGAAAATTTCCTCCAAACGCATAACCTGAATGAAATAGTTATCTTGAAAGACGGCGAGGATTCGAGTCCAATATTGACATCGATGCCGTCACGCGCGAAAACGCTCGCGCCACGTGACAACTCACTGATCGCGACGTACTGATCACGATCGTAGCGAGTTGGAGAGATCGTATCGAAAGAAAGCGAAAGTCAAATCTGTCCACGAACTAGAATATCGGAGCTGAGCTCGTCACGAGGAAAAGGGAAGTCCAGAGTAACGTTGTTGAGGACACTCAAGAGAGGAGGCAAGTTATTCCGATTATCCTTATCTATATGCTTGAAATCTCATCAGACAACGGAGAGATCAATGGAAGCTTGGCGAAACACCAAAGCTCGTTATGTCGCTCGAGTCAGAATCTATTGGACGTGTCGTCGAAGGTTGTGTGCAGTCGAAAACCGCGATCCGACATTGGAAGAAGAATAACGAGGAGGGTACTATCTTCACCTTCATCTTGGCCGATAATTCGGAAACGATTCAGGTCGTGGCATAAGGTGCTGTGTGCGACTCCTTCCATCATCAAATCTCAGTCGGAAACTGCTATCGCATCAATGTCATTGAGACGAAGCCGAGTAATCCCGCGTACAATCAGGCCACGGCGAGTTTCGAATTACGTCAGATTATTACCGAAGTACATCAGATGCAATTCTGATCGCTTATCTCAAATCATGACACCCTTCATAATCTCGAATCAAGATGAGACAGCAACTGATGAAAATGATTCATTATACTAGATGAGTCAAGTCAAACCCATCGAGGGATCCGGCTTCCCAAAGAATTTGAATAAGATGATCACCGTCCTCGAAATACTCCACACGGAGAGTAATAAGATGATCGATCTGATCGCGGTTACAGTGTAGGACCGCCGCAAACTCTCATGTGTCGCGATGGCATTCAAAGAAAGAAACAAAACGTTGAGCTGATAGACGATACTCTCAAGATCGTGAATCTAGGCCTCTGGGTGAATGCTGTCGACATTATGGATTACACGGAAGGCCAATGTGTCGCGGTAACCAACTTACAAGTCAAAGAGTTCCCCGGAAAAAAATCCTGAATTCTTCGTCGAGTACAGTCGTGGACCGCAAGTTTTCAAATGAAGATACGGAACATCTCTAAGTTTGGTTCATCAGTCTATCATGCCACGGAGAGGTC